TCTTTTTTATTGTTCTTAATTATACTGTGACGCTGCTATTTTGTTATTGGTATTGAGTTATATGTTTGATAATAAAAAGTTAAACTGGCAAAAACAAACTTTTTTTTTTTTTCTCGGGGTGGGGCATCATAAAGGAATTATGCTTAGGGCACCAAGATGGCTAGCAGCGGCACTGGGTCCGGTTACATACTGGTTATAGGTACCGGGTCTGTGTTCATGTTATTATAATGATATACTGTACAGTATGAGAGCAAGTGAGTGTTAATGTTTGTAATAGATGTGCGCTCAAACTGCTTACATGTATGTAACCTGCTTTCCACAGATGGAAATAGAAATATGCCAAATACAAAGGTTCCAGTCCAACAGCAGAGGTATGTGTGTGTTTTCCCCTTGTGTCTTCCCCACATTTGGAAAACTGACCAAACCTAAGGACAATATAACCTCCACATTCACTGCAGACAAATGCAATAACTTCCTGTCATACCAAAATCCATACCATACGCTGTTCACTAACATCCACTTCCTCCGCTTCTCCTCTCCCTGAATATCAACTTACTCCGCTCACACTCCACAGTTTCTCCTCCTTCTCTCCTCTGACACCTCCAAACTCCTTTCAACTATGAAATTCTCCAACTGCCAGCTTGACCTGATCCCCTCACCCCTCTTTAAAACCTGTCAACAAATCCTCATCCCTCTTATCACCATGATCATTAACACTTCCCTCATGTCTGGATCCGTTCCATCCCCGCTAAAACTTGCGTCCATCACACTCCTCCTGAAAAAACCTGGCCTGAACCCTGACAATCTGGACAACTTCAGACCCATCTCCAATCTCCCGTTACTCTAAAAAATTCTGGAACGCGCCATCACACAACTCCACCAATATCTCCACTCCCCTCAACTTTTCGAAACATTTCAATCCGGATTCCGTCCACACCACAGCACAGAAACACCCCTTCTTAAAGTCACAAGTGATCTCCTCATTGCTGCCGACTCTGGTTCCATATCCATCCTCCTTCTCCTCGACCTCTCCGCTGCATTTGACACTATAGGCCATACTGTCCTCCTCCATCGTCTTATATCTATTGGCATCTCTGGCACAGCACTTCTTTGGCTCACCTCCTACCTCTCTGACCGTCACCACTTTGTCTCTGTTAACAACTGCAACTCCCACACCTCCCCTGTCACCCATGGTGTCCCCCAAGGTTCCGTGCTCGGCCCCCTCCTCTTCACCATCTACATGCTTCCCCTCGGTCAGATCATCCGCCACCATGGACTCCATTTTCATTGCTACGCCGATGATACCCAACTCTACATATCCACCAAATCCATCACCCCCGGCTATCCTCTCCACCATCACCGGTTGTATTTCCGACATAAAGACCTGGATGGACAATAACTTTCTTAAACTCAACAGCAATAAAACAGAACTCCTTATCACCGGCCCAAAATCACTCCTCTCTTCTATTCAGAACTTTACTCTCCTTATCGACGGACAGAATGTCTCCCCCTCCCTCTCTGTTCGAAACCTTGGTATCATAATGGACTCAACCCTCTCATACCGAACACACATCAACCATATCACTAAACTATCCTTTTTCCACCTCCGCAACATTGCCCGTTTTCGCCCCTCCCTCACCCTGTCAACAGCTGAAATCCTCATTCACGCCTTCATAACTTCAAGACTTGACTACTGCAATAGCCTTCTCTACGGACTTCCTACCAATCAACTACAAAAACTACAATACATCCAGAACTCAGCCGCCCGCCTCCTCACCCAGACCCGGTCCCGGGAACACATCACTCCCGTTCTCCAGCAGCTCCATTGGTTACCTGTTCATTATCGCATTAAATATAAGCTCCTCCTCCTCACCTACAAGTCCCTCCATAACCTGGCCCCGCCCTACCTCACTGAGCTTCTGGTACAGCACCAATCCACCCGCCACCTCTGCTCATCTAGCACAAACCACCTTACCCCGATCACCCGCACTAACCGCCGGACCTTGGGGGATCGAACTTTCGCTATTGCTGTCCTCACTCCTTACATCCATTAGAAACTCTGATTCACTGCCAAACTTCAAATCAGTACTCAAAACCCACCTGTTCAAACGAACTTTTCCTTAAAATCCCCTTTTTGTTTTGTTTTTGTTTTTTGTTTTATTCTGCATGTGAAGCGTCTTTGAGTGTCCAGAAAAGCGCTATACAAGTGTGATGTATTAGTATTAGTATTATTATTAGTATAGTTTATTAAAATTGACCAGTTATCCTTCAAGAACATGGCTGCGCCAACACTATGGGATAACACTAACAATAACCAAATAGGGCCTTTAAAATGAAGAAAAGAGAAGTTTATTAAGAAAAAGTATACTTTTAGAGTTATGGGCACACCGACTTTAGAAAAAGACTATTTATGGCACTCAGACATGAATGTTCAATTGTGTTGATAGAAAAAAAAGAGATATATTTCTAGTTTTATCATTATTTGTTATTCAGAAAATGTGCAGCCATTGAAAATGTGTACCAGTTTACTCATAGAGCCACATTGAGATCACTATATCTCTGGAAATTAATCCTATTTGGCCTTAAAAATTAAGAAACCAAAAGAAAAGGTAATCTAAAAGAATATTAAGATGTCTTTAATATGAATTACAGTCAATTTTGACACAAATGACCCAAATGTGTTTATGTCTGAGAAACTTTTATAGATCTTTAATACACATACTTAACTGTAGACACTGAAATGCTGTGTGGTGAATTACAAATATTTTGAGTGTCCCTTATTTTCCTTTCCAGAAGCATAGACAGTAAAAGAAATGGACACAGCGACCCCATGGACTTCAACTGAGAAAAGTGAAGCCCATTAGAAGCCCATTCTTCCTGATGGCTGAGCGACTGCGCAGGCTCAAACTGAGCTTGACGACGGAGATGTGACGTGAGCAACCTGTCTGACAGTTGTACGTCTTCTAGTAGCTGTGCCGAGAGAAATCAGAATCATTCCCTTCCGAATCTCGCAGAGCCGGAGATCGTGAGTATTAGCTGTTCATGAGCAGCAGGATCAACTTTATGACTCTCAATGGGCTTCTCCCTCGACTTTATGCCTCCACATCCCCCCGATTTAAATGAGCTTCTCCTCCTGTCTATACGGTAATTTCTCTACTGTGTGACAGAGAGTCGCGTGTTATGACGCAATCGTTAGCCTATTTTTACAAAAACTGCTTCTACGGGGCCATAACGTAAGATACAAAGTAATGGAGCCTTATGATTGTCTTGTTTCTTTAGAAATAAATAATGGACAAATGGAGTCTTTAAACGCCTCAGATGTTAAGTTATTCGCTGTCAAAGTGACGCCAAAATGAATGGGAGTCAATGTAATGCTAACAGCAGGTGAAGGTCTGCAATGTGTAATAGCAATTTTCAGAGGTTAACAAAAACCAGCATCAAAAAGGTCAAGAAACTTTCAAGAGGCAAATTGTAATAAAGAGAAAAGGCTTTATTCTTGAGGACCATTTCCACAACTGCAGCCACCCGATTTTGAAAAGGGCAGACCTGCTTGATTTCCACAAACAGCACATTTTATACAGTTTTTCTTGAGAAGCCGTAAGCCCCTCCTTTTCCTCAGGAGGTCGAATTGTCCTTTGTTCTTGAAAAGTCAAAAGGTCTTCATTTACAACCTAAATTACCTCCTGCTCCCCTGGGGCAGAAGGTGTGGGATCGCCCTGTATTCTCCAGATTAGATCTTTTCTTGGTGGGTTTTTCAGCTGTGTAAACATGATACTAGAAAAACAAGATTCTCTGTTCTCGTAACTCAGGAATACAAACAAAAGAGAATAAAATCAAATGAGAATATAAAAATGTCCATAACAGTCTGCTACAATGGCGGCTCCCGCGAAGCTTCAGTTTCCGGCTGATGGATTACCCCCTTGTCCAGAAGTTGGCAAAAGTAGATTTAGAGCCGATTCTTCATCCATGAAACCTCGAAATGACTGAGAATGACAACAAGCGCTGCCATCTAGAGTGGGATTGTAAATGTTCACTTTATACAGAAACACTGATTTATCCTGATGATGTGACACAGAATCTGCTTCAAAAGAAGAGGGAGAATAAAAGCAATACAATAATTCATGTCTAGTTGTGCTTGTTGAAAATGACCATTTAGAGATCTTCATCTTAATGCTTGCTCTCATGAGTCTTTAGATTAGATAGTTGGGTGAAACTCTTTCCTCATAAAGAGCACTTGTACGGTTTCTCTCCAGTATGAACTCTCTCATGATCTGCACAGGATGATAAATAAGCGAAACTCTTTCCACAGTGTGAACACTCATAAGGTTTCTCTCCAGTATGAACTCGCTCATGTGTTTTCAGGTTTCCTGACAGAGCAAAACTCTTTCCACAGTGTGAACACTTGTACGGTTTCTCTCCAGTATGAACTCTCTGGTGTTTTTTTAAGTCACTGGATGTAACAAAGGTCTTCCCACAGTCAGAGCACAGATAAGACAAAAACATATGTTTTCTCACACTGATCACAGCTGAATGATCTCACTCCAGAGTGAGAGAGCAGATGTTTTTTGAGATTTTTTTGGGATGTGAAACTCTTTCCACACTGAGAGCATGTGAACGGTTTTTCTCCAGTGTGAATCCTCATGTGCACATTTAGGTTTTTTTTCTGTCTGTAACTTTGTTCACACTCAGATCAGGTGAAAGATCCTTTGACTCCAGTTTTTCCAGCTCGTTTCTGTGTGAAATTCTTTTCAGTCTGTGAAATGATGTTTCCATCTTCGTTTGTTAAATGCTCTGTGTCCTCATTCACTTCCATCGGGTCTAAAAACAACATTAAAATTCAATTGAAGACGGACAAATTAGAAACAAAATCAGAAAGTTTGAGCAAAATCCAGTTTACTGCTGAGTCTACTAGTATCTAGTTTGGGATTTTCTTGTTTTATGTCAGTTTTCATCTTAATGTTCCTCATCAGTCATTAAAGAGAATGAAGGAAAACACCAACCTATTTGTTCCTCTGTATCTTCATCTTTTATTCTGCAGGGTTCTTCCTTAATCTCCATCTTTACAATAGTATGTCCGTAGTTTCTCCTGGAGTAATTCCTCCTGCTTGCTTCTTCTTCTCCTGTGGGAAGATGGGAATATTCCCCAGCATTTAAACTCTCATGAACGGCTGTGGGAGCTTCACTGACTGAAGGAGTGAATTGTGGTCGTTGTTGCTCATTTAGCAGATGATCATCACACTTACAATCACTCGCAATTATCCAAGTGTAAATGTTTTGCCAGAACAGTCGTTAAGAAACAATTCCATGAATTAAAAAAAAAAAATAGTCTACTAACCCTTAAACAACCTTGGTTAAATCTGACTGAACACCACCTTCCGAACTTCCGATCCTCCCTAAAAGCCCAAACTTAACGTCCAAACCAGATATAGTCTACTGTCACTGAACTGCAGGTCTAAGTTGCTTAACTGCATTAAGAGGCGAAAGTGATACTGTTCCTCAAGCGGCTTTCTGCGTGTGCGCCCCGAGACGGAGTGGAACATGGAGAAGAAAAGTGAAATTTGGGTTTGTGCCTAAACACTTAAAAACACACAGAAATATGCCTAAATGCCCAGCTTGGTGATCATCATTTACTCACAGGGTTCGAATTACAAAGTGGCTTTCGGGCGAGCCCTATTTTCCGATCCTCCCTGACCCTGACTGACTTTAACGCTTTTGGTGCATGTTTGGGCATTTAAAACAATAGGTTTACAGTAAACCTATTGTTTACTTAGTAAACCGTTTACTTCAAAACGCAAGCGTCAGTCAGTGTTCTCAGTGTTAGGGCAAACGGCTCTGTCCACGGTTCTGAATCAACCGCGCTTAGGCCTACATCATGCAAATCATGATAAAAACAGAATAACTCACATAACAATCATAAAAAAAATACATCAATATTAAATAGGATTAGGGCCAATCCTCACAAATGCACAGATTCTCCACTCACTCCATCGCTTTGTTGTCCAGTTGAAAGGTGTTGCATGATCGCCTGGTCAGCTGCAAGTCGCCGCGGTGGTTTCTGGCGCCCAAGTCTCGCTATCCTCTGTGCTGGTGCTGTCACTAGCAGCAACTTTTAGCGGCGGCGGCGTTAACACCGGCAAGCTAGTTGTAGCTGGTGCACTGTCATCACTCCTCTTCGTTTGTTTTGTAAATCTAAATTGACTGAGGTTTGGCTGCTTCCTTTTTGACATTCTTATTAGTATCCACAGAGTGTTTCAAAAAACGAATAAAGTATGTTTTAAACTTGAAGCTAACATTCAAATACCAACTCAGTGAGAAGTTCAAGTGGTGACGTAAACGTAGTAGTTGCAGTGGAGCGCCGCCACGCATGGATGGTCACAGCAGGAGACACAGCATTGCATTTATTAGTGGAGACAGATGTTCGGAAATAGTAATGCAATGAGCGAATAAACACTGACACATTTTTAATATCATCATTTATTTCAGGAACCTTAATGTACAGAAAATCAATCTACACTCACCGGCCACTTTATTAGGTACACCTGTCCAACTGCGGGAAGAAAGTTGATTTGAGTGACTTTGAACGTGGCATGATTGTTGGTGCCAGAAGGGCTGGTCTGAGTATTTCAGAAACTGCTAATCTACTGGGATTTTCACGCACAACCATCTCTAGGGTTTACAGAGAATGGTCCGAAAAAGAAAAAACATCCAGTGAGCGGCAGTTCTGTGGGCGGAAATGCCTTGTTGATGCCAGAGGTCAGAGGAGAATGGCCAGACTGGTTCGAGCTGATAGAAGGGCAACAGTGACTGAAATAACCACTCGTTACAACCGAGGTATGCAGCAAAGCATTTGTGAAGCCACAACACGCACAACCTTGAGGCGGATGGGCTACAACAGCAGAAGACTCCACCGGGTACCACTCATCTCCACTACAAATAGGAAAAAGAGGCTACAATTTGCAAGAGCTCACCAAAATTGAACAGTTGAAGACTGGAAAAATGTTGCCTGGTCTGATGAGTCTCGATTTCTGTTGAGACATTCAGATGTTAGAGTCAGAATTTGGCGTAAACAGAATGAGAACATGGATCCATCATGCCTTGTTACCACTGTGCAGGCTGGTGGTGGTGGTGTAATGGTGTGGGGGATGTTTTCCTGGCACACTTTAGGCCCCTTAGTGCCAATTGGGCATCGTTTAAATGCCACGGCCTACCTGAGCATTGTTTCTGACCATGTCCATCCCTTTATGGCCACCATGTACCCATCCTCTGATGGCTACTTCCACCATGTCACAAAGCTCTAATCATTTCAAATTGGTTTCTTGAACATGACAATGAGTTCACTGTACTAAAATGGCCTCCACAGTCACCAGATCTCAACCCAATAGAGCATCTTTGGGATGTGGTGGAACGGGAGATTCGCATCATGGATGTCCAGCCGACAAATCTGCGGCAACTGTGTGATGCCATCATGTCAATATGGACCAAACTCCCTGAGGAATGCTTCCAGCACCTTGTTGAATCTATGCCACGAAGAATTGAGGCAGTTCTGAAGGCAAAAGGGGGTCCAACCCGTTACTAGCATGGGGTACCTAATAAAGTGGCCGGTGAGTGTATATGCGACACAAAAAATGGACAGTGTTTTAGAGCTCCCCCTAAATGTCTCAAAGTAGGCTTTCAGGGGAGCCGAGCTCCCCTTAGCTCCCCCGTAATTCGTTGTTTCAAATGTATGAATTTCTTTGTTCTGCTAAACACTAAAGAAGATATTTTGAAGCATGTCGATAATCATACAGTTGATGGACTATGGAAACAAATGGGTCTATCAACTGTTTGGTTTTCAATTTTAAGTGAACTATTCCTTTAAATAAGTTTTGTTTATTAAGCGGCAAAAGTTACATATAGAGGGTATGCGCATGACGTCACCGTCGGCCGGAGTGAATGCGGTCACGCCCACAAGTGGCAAAAAGACTGAGCGGCAGCATTTGTTTTCAGCGTGAATGCCGTGAAAATCACACAAAACACATCTAAAACGGGAAAGAGCTTTGCGATTGACTGTACAACTAGATTTGACCAGAAATCTGAGTTACTGTATATTTTTACAGACTGCAAAAAGCTACAGAACAGACTATATTCTGCATAATTGGATGTTTTTAAATAAACACTGACAAAAAACTATACAAGTTTTAGGGCTGGACGATATGATGATATACAGTATAACATTAATGTAAGTGATCACTCGGATTTAGACCTATCTATATTGTATTTATATAAAACGTTTACAGGCAAATTGTCTTAATTTATTTCCCCGGCGTCGAAATCAGGCACATATAAATGTCAGGAAACACGATTCCTGGCTGCATGTCAATATCCATGGATCACTGGATCTTTGATAAGTTGTAAGGAACACTATATCGAGTCCAACTTTTAGTTTAAACTGATAATAGTTTGTTTTACTCGCGTTAACGCAGTTTCCCCTATTAACTCCAGTCACGCAGCAGCTCTTCTGCCACTCAGTCCGGCTGAGGGGGGCGTGTTCCGGCGGGGAAGTGACGTTAATGCATTCCCTCTGTTGTATGTTAAGGGTGGTATTGGGTTTGTCCAGTAGGGGGTGATGGCGCATTGCAGTGGCGCAAAAAGTGGGTATGCGCTGTATGCGGCGCATAGGGGCGCAGGACCATGGGGGGCGCCAAAGCGATGGTAAAAAAAAAAATTTAATTAAAATTTAATTAAAAAAAAAATATATATGCCTATATTGTATTTTCTATATGTAGCTGCTGTTGTGCGTTTTTTAAATCATTTCTGCATTTCTTCAATGTTATATAAAATTTAAGAGGACTAACAGGCTAGAGTAGGCTCCCTCATGGAGAAGGGGGGCGGGGTGATATCGCGAGCGCGCGGGGGCGCCGTGAGCGCTGAGCGAGCAGGTACGAGTAGTGAGTTGTCGTCGAAAAAGATGGATACAACAAAATGCTGTGGGGCTAAACCAGGGGCGTTGCTAGACCCATTTTACTGGGGCACGTGCCCCAGTATAAATCTGCTGTGCCCCAGTAAATCTGAAGTTTGAGTTTAACAATTTATTTTATTTGTCAGTGTATTTAATCTAAATTATATTATAGGATAATAGAAATTATATTTGCAACGCAGTAATAAACCAATCAATGCTTGTAAAAGCAACGCAGTTTAACCGAAACAGAAGCTGACCCACGCGACAGAAATCCGCGCGCGTCTGTGTTTCCTAGCAACAGCAGCGCGCACACATCTGAGCACACCGAAGTCCGGTGTTGGCACGCGAGGTAGGCTATGAAAACATGACGAAACAAAAGTTTCTAAATAATAGCCTACAAATAATCTTAAAAGTAAAATTGAGTCAGAGTCAAGTGATTGACCGTTATGCCAAAATGAAGCATAGGCGGTAGCCTACAGTTTAATGTTCAACAAATAAATCAACTTAGTTTGGACTTGGCTGGGCAACTTTGTTTTCTTTTAGAATATACATGCTCTTTATTTTATATAGTATTAACTCTTTATTGATTTATTGAAATGATGTAATTGTAAATTCTTGAAAAATATAAAGGCTAATTATTCATTATTAACATTGTGTAATGTAGAAGAATGCAAATGTGCAAGAAAGTTTTCTCTCCGTTTTCTATTTTCATGCCTTTTATGGCACAAAAAAAAAGAAATTCGTGTAACATGATTTTAAAGCTATTGTTATCCAATTTGTTGGCATTCAAACACCTTAAAATGCACATAAGTAGGTCAGAGAAATCCAAATCGATAAGCCCCGCCCTCCTTAGTTACGCTTGCTATCTCAGACAAACAATGGGGGGCCTGTGCCCCAGTAGAGCTTAATGTCTAGCAACGCCCCTGGGCTAAACATAGAAAAAGAAAGAGGGAAAAGGAGATGGCATGTCAACTGATGTGACAGCAGCTAAATAAGTGCATGCTGAAAGCCAACAGGTAGGATTTAAAGTGTGACATCCAGGCATGTAGGCTATCTATATCTCTGTGGCCATCGGGACTACCGGGAGATTCCCGGTGGGCCGACGTGCTTTTTCGGCCGATACATCTCATACTTTTTTTTTTTTGTCTTAACGGCCCATAAAACTCTTACATCGGCGGCCCACTGGTTTTGTTTTGTTTTTTTGTTTTGCTTAATTGGCGGCGCTGGGTTAGTGCCGGTGTAATGCATTGGTCAAAAAAAGTCAGCGTTAGTTTTTTTTCTGACACACCGGCCCATGAAACGTCATCATGTGCTTATATCTTTCAAGTATAGAAATTAGTACAAAACTAATTATGAAAGTTTACTTTATTTTTCAGTGCATTTGTTTTACAATATAGGCCTATGGCT